CTTAACACCCAAAGGATTAGAAGGCACCAGACAGTCCAAGGGTTTTAACCACCTTAGGGGATATGAAAATATGTGTGGCTCCACTGTCAATAAGAACCAAAATAGATGCACCTTGTAAACATCCTTCCAATTTTATCTTCCGGACCTGGTTTGGATTAGTGGATACACCAAACAGTCCCATGGTTTTACATTCTAATTCCTTTTGTGTGATTGATAGAAGTTGGTGCAATTGTGGAAAGTTTCAAGCCTTTCGTATGCCTTGCTCCCGTGTCATAGTGGCATGTGCAAAGGCTCGCCAGGACCCTTCTAACTTACTGTCCGTTGTTTACCAAGTCATTAATCTATGCAATGTCTACAACACTAGCTTTCTGGTGGTAGCAAAAGAGGACTATTGGCCTGCATATGAAGGGGAAATAGTTTGGCACAATGAAATTATGCGAAGAAATAAAAAAGGTCGCCCTAATAGCACACGTATTCGAACAGAAATGGATACGGTGAACAAAATGGTGATATTATGTAGTTCACGTCGTCAGCCTAGGCACAATAGCAAGTAAGATGTATTCAATATAGTTGTATTCGACAGAGTAGAATATAACATATAAGTGTCAAAAGGTGTAAGAAAATATACGACAGTCGAATACTATAGTTTGTAATTTTTGTCTTTTGTTGCCTATATATACAAATAGTGTTGTAAATCAAAGTACAACAACTTCACATCAATAAATTCTCTTTTCAAAATATAGTTTCTCTATTTTATTTCTCTCTTCTTCTTCTTCTTCTTTTTTTTTTATTCTTAAAAACCCTAATTTATTTCAAAAAATTGGTATCAACGAACCCAATTTTCAAAGGCGAGAACTACGAGAAGTGGGTTGCGCAAATGAAGGTCATTTTCAGATCTCAAGATGTGGCTGAAATTGTGAATGCTGGAGTAATTACATTAGAAGTGAATGCAAATGATATTAAGAAGGTTGGGCGCAAGGAACAAAAAAATAAATATGGAAAAGCTCCATTCTTGATTCATCAATGTGTGAATCCTAACGTGTTCGAGAAGATTATTGAAGAAGAAATGTTCAAAGGAAAGTGAGACAAATTAAAGAACTTGTAAGGAGGAGATGAAAATTTGAAGAGGACAAGGTTGTAGATGTTAAAAAAGCAGTTTGAGACGACATAGACGAAAAAAGATGAATCAGTTGCTGATTTCTTCTCAAGATTAGTGTTACTCACGAACTACAAGAAAGTTTGTGGTGAATCGATCAACGATTTACAGAAGATTAAGAAATCATTGAGATCTTTTACTACAAATTTTGATTATATTGTAGTGTCTATTGAAAAGTGTAAGAACCTAGTTAAATTCATTAGAGGCTCATGAGATGAGCTTGAAGCAGAGGAACTCAAAAAGGGAAAAAGGTGGTTGAACAGGCATTGCAAGTAAGATTCATCAAGAACTTTGGAAAATAAAAGGTGAAGCAGAGAAAGAATCTTAGAAATGTTGAGAAGTCAAGCAAGAATTTAAAAATTGCTCTAATTCAACCAAGAAAGTCATGGGCAACAAGTATTTGAGAAAGAAAGTTTACATGAAGGAGGTGCAGTGGTACAACTGTCAAGGATTTGGTTATTATGCTCGAGATTGTTGAAGAAAGAAGGAATCAAGAGAAAAAGATAATGACGAAGTGGGTGGTGACCATTCCCAAGAAAATCTTAGACCCTTAAGGCATCTATAAATACATCTCCCATATATGAGAGGGGAAGATCATTCTTGAAACCCTAAAAGAGCATAACACTTGCTAAGATCACAACACCACGATTGACCATAACCATACGCTTGCTCCCAAGCGTCACCGGTCATCTGCAAAGCCTTTCACTTTACGCGAACATGACTCATAAACTACTTAAAAACCCCACCTACAAGGCTTCTCGCCATTGTGGACAAGCCCTGACTACCATATTGTGATATAAATCTACTAAGCCTTCTGAGTCCCCATGCTCTTGCAAGAGGAATATACACACATGTACATTCTAACAAATACAATGTCATAAAATAACATTTTTTCAAAATTTCATGGTCAAGTCATTCAACTTTTTTTGAAACATGTATTTGAACTTCTTTTGAACCATTTGAATGGATTTTTTTAGGATAAACAAACATATACGTTGGGGAGAGTTGATAAGTTTCAAAAATACGTCAAATTCATAGACACTTATTAACTTGTTTTACAAGAAACCATATGAAAACCCTTGATTTATTAATGAAAAGTGATAAAATGTATGTTTGAACATTTTAACCATGCATTTATGAAATACAAATAAAAAGATCAAGAAATCGACCAAAAAATCACAAAATACCAAGCATAGAATTTTCCCAAAATATCAAGGCTCGCTAAGCCAAGAATGCAGGTGCGCTTAGCGATCAAAGGTGCATCATTGCTAAGCCAAGAAGCACATACGCGCTTAGCGAGCAATGTTGGTTCAAAGACTTAAGGGTTAAGTTACTTAAAGGTGATGCAAGGGTTTGGTGGCTAAGTTAGCTTGTGAGGATCACTTAGAGAGTATAGGCGGCAAAGTTAGCCCTATAGTAGCTATCATGACATAACCAAGAAGAAAGTATGCGTAATAAGAAAGCTGGGCAGTGCACCTTTTCCCGAGCCTATAAATAAGGGTATTAGGCCTTAATTCAATCATATCCAATCAATTCAACACAATTAAGTTCTATAGGAATGGATCACAGTCGGTGGAATTCAAGGTGAAATTAAAGATTGTCTATTAGGTAATATGATTGATCTAACGCCATTGACTCATACATAAGCTGCAACGACAGTAACATGTGGTAATATTGAAAACTGATAAAAATTTCATATCACAAGTCAACGATGCTTCATAAGAAGATGTTAATGAAGTCTAACCCCAACAAAGTTTTCTCGCTGTTGTAACACCGAAAGCTTATTTTTTGTCGGTTTTCTTTTCTAGTATTCACCAAACAATCAATCATCTGACAACCTAAAAATTTAAGTAATATAAACTATTGAACGATCTTTGAAACATAATTAGTCTCCCTGGAGATGATAAAATTGCACTACAACAAAATTGTAATTTAATTCCTATAATTTTCTACGACCAAACCTCTCCTGATTCAATCAAATCTCTTCCACTAGTAATCCAAATATTCCCGCACTCGAAGTGTAGATTTCCATTTCTCGATCCCCAATCTCAAACCTTATATTCTTTTCCACCAAATCCATCGAATGTGGCATCATTCAAAGCTATTTGTTCTGTCATTCAATGGCAAGCCACTGCTGCTAGAAATCCCCCACATTCTTCTCAAGGGACGAATGATCAAATTCTGACAACTTCTTCATTTGTTCCCTCGCCTCAAGATCATGTCTAACCTAGGGAAAATCAAGAAGTATTTCATCCTCCTTAATTTCTCATATTTGTACCATAGTTTCACCAGAGCAAGCCTTTGTTTAGACCTCCACCACTTCCTACAAGGCATGGACAAGAAATGCTTCTTGACCTTCAATTGCTGCAGGTTAACTTTGATGTGCAGAGAGCCAATGACCTATTGAACATTGGTTACCATATAGTGCAACAACAAAACTATCATGCCTTAAGAGAGAGAGAGAGAGAGAGAGAGAGAGAGAGAGAGAGAGAGAGAGAGAGAGAGAGAGAGATATATATATATATATATATATATATATATATATATATATATATATATATATATATATATATATATATATATATATATATATATATATATATATATATATATATATATATATATATATTATTGCAAATTAAAGAGAGTTTACACCATACAAACTCAAGGAACAACATTGTATAAAAGGTGGCTCTCCTAAGAACAAAGTTGTCATCCGTGAACTAAAAAGAGATCTAGAAGTTACCGAGTCACTGATAACACCATATGCACCATACTCTTTCCCCCGATACCAAGGTGAGAAGAGGCAGCCATACTCTTCCTAAAGTCCACCGTCCTCGGAGAAGGGAAAGATATGAAGAAGCTTACTCATGTCAAGGCGCGAAAGAAAAATCTCATATCATTGGAAAGACAGTTGAAACTTTAAAGTCACGATGGGACAAGGTTTTCCAATGAACACGTTGAACAAGTAGATAACCATATATATTGCTACCACGCCCACAAAATTGTGAAGTGCAAACTCTTTGAACTATCTCTGACCAAATTAGCTAGATCTAGTAAAAATCCCTTCCAGATGAGAATATAAACTCTTGGACCGACCTATGCGAAGCTTCCACCACCCACTTCACCGCTAAGAAGAGGCAATTAACAACCATGTTTATGGTTAATGGAATCACACAAGATGAGAAAGAAACCCCTCGCAGATACATTGACTGCTTTACTAAAGTGGTCGTGGCCATCAGAGACTCAATGATAATTTGAAGTGCTAAATCTTCAAAAAAGACTTCAAACTAGACTATGCGTTATGAGAAAAATTAGAGCGCAAAGAATCTTATAATATAAACACTTGTTCAGTAGAGCATAACCCAACACCAACATCAAATTATTGATCAATGCCTTTCTTTTGTTGGCTTGTTTATTGCAAATCAACTATTGATTTTCTATTCTAAACTCCTAAGAAAAGTAAATTTTTAAATATATTAATTTTTTTCCAAATAAAAGCTTTACCAATTCTCATTTTTCATTTATTTATTCAAAACATTCCCCAATCGATGAAACCAAGAAATAACAAAATTTCTAAATCAATTCAAAAACATAAAAAATGAAAAATGAAACAACCAAACCCACAGTTTCATCCTACCCTTAATTCCATGAGCCCAGCTAAGCCAATTCCAAATCCACCCTTATTAACAAATCTACAAATAATCTTTACAATACTCCTTGAATTACTAATAGCCACTACACAATCACTAATCACTCAACTCATCTCTATAATAATGCACTTGTTCTTACATCTCTCAATATTCTAGATCTATAGGCACACTCACAACCATCATCATCAATCATGGATGTTTTTGATGGAAACAAATTCCTCAACACTGTTCTTCTCCTCGTCACAACCATTATCGTAGCAAAACTCATTTCATCTTTCATTATCCCCAAATCTAAAAAACGCCTACCCCCAATTCTTCCAGGATGGCCCATTATCGGAGGCCTCTTCCGTTTCCTCAAAGGTCCAATCTTTATGCTCCGTGAAGAATACCCTAAACTCGGTGGCGTTTTCACCTTGAAAATCTTTCATAAAAATATCACCTTTTTGATTGGTCCTGAGGTTTCTGCGCATTTCTTCAAAGCTCCTGAAGCTGATCTTAGTCAGCAAGAGGTTTATCAGTTTAATGTCCCGACTTTTGGGCCTGGTGTTGTTTTTGATGTTGATTATTCTGTTAGACAGGAACAGTTTAGGTTTTTTACTGAAGCGCTTAGGGTTAATAAACTCAAGAGTTATGTTAATCAGATGGTTTCTGAAGCTGAGGTAATGTTTTTTTGAAAACCATTTGTCTGATTCATTGTTAATGATGCGTAATTGTTCTCTTTTTATTTATGCAGATTATCTGTTTGATAATTTGTCTGTTTTGTTTTTTATGAATAAATCAATGGTTGATGTTAAGTTTGTATGCATAATAAATCTTAATGTGATGGAATATCAATATCAACTTTAGGGGTATCATGTAATGAATATACTGTAATAAAGAAGAGGGGGGACATTGATTTGGTCAGACCCTTGTTTTCTGGTAGAAACTCAATTGTAGACATAGATCCATTTTTCTAGAATGATGTTCTTTGTACATCTAAAAATTTGACTAATGGCGTCCTCATAGTAATGATTCTCTCTCTATTATTTATTGCTGTTTTGAGTACTTGAGTTGACCTTTTTTTTCTCTCTTACTTGAAAGACCACATTTTTGTGCATTCAATGCTTCATTCTATTTGGTTGTTACTTGTTACTGGCTACTGGCAACACCTGTGTGATCTCTACATATTGCAGAGCTGAAGTCTGCTTCCGTGTCTAGTAAACTTATTGCTATTTTAATTGAAGGATTTGATTTTATGATCTTAATTGAGGACAGTTATATACATCAATGTGTCATTTTGGTTCTAGGGTGCAAAAATTGGTTTTTAGTAAAGTGAGTTGAATGCAATGTGGTTTATGTTTGAATAAGTTAGGGTAAAAGTGAGTTGGTGTGTGTTTGGTTCTATGGTGGGAAAAGTTGATTTTGAATGAATTGTTATAATTGATTATGGTTAAAAGTAAGTTGAATTTAAAGTGGTTTTTTTGTTTGGATACATTCATGTAAAATGAGCTGAACAAATAATCTGAATTTAAAAATTAATTGTAGAATCAAATGCTCCATTATCTTTTTATTAAAGTTAGAATCTGTTTTGGAGGCAGAATCAATTCTACTCTTAGAATCAATTTTAGTTCACCCAAAGTGATACCAAACATACACTTAGACAATACATTTAAATGTAAAAATGACATTTGCAGTTATAGTCAATTCTAGTTGGTGATCTGTGCATACACTGCAGGCTGGCGATGTTTTTGTTTAACTTACTGCAGTTTTGATTGAATGATTTGGCTTTATGACCTTAGGTGAAGTCAGTTATATCTGCAGTACTCATTTTAGCTTTGGAGTGAGATGTCGTGAATAACTATGGAGTAGGAAATTAAGAGAATAAATGTTACTTAATCCGTACCTTTTAGAGTGTCTCTTTTTCAAAAGTTGTGTAGCTATTTGCTTGTCATTTTCAAAACTTAAAGTTGTATTTACTATATATTCAGCAAAAAGACAAACAGTTACGTCAAAGGTGACATGGTAGATGTTGCTGCTAACATTTAAATGACAATTACAATGGAATGTAAGAAGTTCGATTTTTTAGTAGGTGGTGGTGATACTTTTATCACAATCTCAGCAGTCATGTTTCTAATCAATGCTTATTAACTCCACACTTTTTGAGTAGCCAAACTCCCGACGTAACTGAAAATCTAATTTTTCACTGGGCAAGCTTTTAACTCCACACTTTCATTCTCATATATTGTTTATCTGGGCAAGCTTTTTAATTCTATTTGGACTTGACTTATTGTTTTTTTCTTTATATTTACAATAGTATATTCATCTTTTGTAACTTATGCTGAGTTATGTTGTTTCTAAAATATGAATCCAATTTACAGGACTATTTCTCAAAATGGGGATCAAGTGGTGAAGTTGATTTGAAATATGAACTTGAGCATCTGATCATCTTGACAGCCAGTAGATGTCTGTTGGGGCGTGAAGTTCGTGACAAGCTCTTTGATGATGTCTCTGCATTGTTCCACGACCTCGACAACGGAATGCTTCCAATCAGTGTTCTCTTCCCATACCTACCAATCCCAGCTCACAGACGCCGCGACAACGCACGCAAGAAGCTTGCTGAAATCTTTGCAAACATTATATCTTCCCGAAAAGGCTCCAACAAATCAGAGGACGACATGCTTCAGTGCTTCATTGACTCAAAATACAAAGACGGTCGCCCTACAACAGAAGCCGAAGTCACTGGTCTCCTTATTGCCGCTCTTTTCGCTGGGCAGCACACCAGTTCAATCACCTCAACTTGGACTGGAGCATATCTCCTGTGCAACAAACAGTACCTTTCTGGTGTGGTGGAGGAGCAGAAGAACTTGATGGCAAAACACGGCGATAGAGTTGATCACGATGTTTTGGCTGAGATGGACGTCTTGTATAGGTGCATTAAAGAAGCCTTGAGACTCCACCCTCCATTGATTATGCTGCTTCGAAGCTCACACAGCGATTTTAGCGTCACTACTAGAGAAGGGAAAGAGTATGACATTCCCAAGGGTCATATAGTTGCAACATCCCCTGCATTTGCAAACAGGTTACCTCACATTTTCAATGACCCTGATAAGTATGATCCTGATAGGTATGCTATAGGGAGGGAAGAAGACAAGGCGGCAGGGGCATTCTCTTACATTTCCTTTGGAGGTGGTAGACATGGATGCCTCGGAGAGCCTTTTGCATATCTGCAGATAAAAGCAATTTGGTCTCATCTTCTTAGAAACTTTGAACTGGAGCTTCTGTCACCTTTCCCTGAGATTGATTGGAATGCCATGGTTGTTGGAGTGAAAGGAAAAGTTATGGTCCGATACAAGCGAAGGGAGCTTTCTGTTAATCAATAGAACCATATTGTGTTTCACTTTATTGCTTGAATTTCATTTTTAAGTTTTCTTGTTAGTATTTTTGGTTCTGCTTTAGTGTCCATGTTAACTGTTTATTTGACATTGGATATCAAGAATCTTGATTTTGACATTTCTCTTCATGTAATTGTGGTAAATGCTTTTAACTTTTTTTGTTTTAGTGAATAAGATGTTTGGAATGGTTACTTGGGATAAAGTGAAATGGTTAGTGTAAATTATTTAGCTTACTTTTAAAAGCTAATCATTCATTATATCATACTTCCAGGAGTTCATGACAAGAAATCATCAAACATGTGCAATAATAACTCTAGTACAGGGAGATTCAATACATATAATTCTCAAGTAACTAAAACATTAGATGAACAGCGCGACAGAAGTTGAAGATGATGAAAATTAAAACAATTATAACAACTATGGTAGAACTACTTCTCCACGGATCACGAAAGTAAACCCGACTTATAGTACCCATAGCTCTTTTCCATACACTATTGTAGTGTTCATTAAGATCTTCCATAAGCTGATAATAACATGATGAATTTGTCACAACATGTTTGCACAGACTGTTAACAAGAATTGACAATTCTTCGTTGCTTTCAAGCTCATGAACGACGACTTCTTTATCCACCAGCAACTCTGCATCATCTTTGGTGTTAATAAGAGAATCAATCAAAGAAACATAGTTGCAAATGTAAGGCTCATCAGGATAGTGACATTGCTCGAAAGCAATTAGGTTTCTAAGAACACATTCTGTCGTGTGATCTACTTTTAACTGTGGAAACAGAAACCTAGCTTTGAAAAACTTGCAAAATGGTAAACAACCTAAGCAAAGAAACCAACTCAAAAATGGTTTTCTCTCAAACTTTATGTTAAGTAAGGATCTATTATGAACTTTCTCAAAGCTTACACCAGCTTCATTCAACTTTGTTGCAGTCCTTAACATCAAACACTCTTTTTCAGAATCAATATACTGATTACTTATTTTCATAGGGAGATAAGAACATCTAATCAAATCAATGAAATGAAGTGATTTCTCCCATTGTTTCGCTTGAAACTTTCGTTCATCAGATTCCTTGTAACAAGGGTAACAAGATGCAAAATACTCATGTGCAAGCTTGAAAAACCAGTTGTTCTTTTTGACACTGGTTGGAACAACAGTGTCATATAGTTTTTCCAACACATAAATTGGAAGCTGATTCTCCAGAAGCAACAAATCGCGTTGAATACTTTTACTCACGCAAAGTTGAGTTACTATACAATCATCTTTGTGTTCCCATTTTCTATTCTCTCTTAGAAAAAGCTCCATGATGAACACAGCATCCAACAATATCATGTCCACAAATTGTTCATTGCTGATATCATTGAATTTCTGCTGGTAACAGCGGCGCATATTTTGTTCCTCTTGTTCAAGAAACGATTTGTAGTTCACTAAATCACTTTTTCGTTCTAGACGATTCCAAAAGAAATGAAAATACCTTTGTTTGTATTCTTGCATTTCCTCGAGTTTTTTGTTGTTATGGTGGATAGGACCAATTGATACAAGTAGAGGTGTATAAGCTTCTTTTTTAACCATCAAAAGAATAGCAGGAACATTGTAGATACAACATTGAGGCCAAAGAGAAGGTTCTATCTTTTCAGGAATGTTTATAATTTGTTGGATATGATATTCATTCGAAGATCCCATGAGATCACTTTTTTCGTAGCCGCTAAGTAAACTAAGACCTGTTTGGATAAACAACTTAATTAAATGTTTATAGTATAAACGCTTATCATTTATGTGCTTATGTTTATGCTATTTCTATAATAAAATATAAGAAAAAACAGAAAAATCATATAACATAAGTTTGGAGTGAAGTATATAGTGACTCAAAAAACAATGGCTTAAACAACAAATAGTGATTGAACCTGAAAGTATGTTTCCTCCAACAACTTCTGAGTTCCAAGCTCTTGGCTCGAAAGTTGTAAGCTTTTTGCATTGGTCCTTAAAGTTAAGGGCTATGCTTTATAGAGATAGAAGTAGTTAAGTAAAAGTTGAGACACACTTTACTTTAGCAATTATTATGGTCAAAGACGTATAGTTTGAAAATTGCTAGTTTAATTGCATGCTAGCATAGGTGATGGTCATAACTGCGATATACTTTTGGTAAAAATAATGGTTTAAAGAGATGAGAAAGTCATATATGTTTACATCAGAATTTATATTGGTTGGTGACCTGAATTTACAGGTTAAATGAGTTATCATCAACAGATTTTTCGCTACTTTCTCAATTTACTTTTAATAAGTACACTCGCACCTATATAAAAAAAATATTTCCTGAGGATTATTATTATAACTTTTATATATATATATATATATATATATATATATATATATATATATATATATATATATATATATATATATATATATATATATATATATATATATATATATATATATATATATATATATATATATATATATATATATATATATATATATATATATATATATATATATATATATATATATATATATATATATATATATATATATATATATATATATATATATATATATATATATATATATATATATATATATATATATATATATATATATATATATATATATATATATATATATGCTAAAAAAATTCAATGCATAAAACCTCTATGTTGGTAAAAATGACCAGAGGCTTTAAGAATTTTCGATGGTTTAGGGCAAACTCATGTTTTGAGGTGATTTTTGTGAGGTAAAGAGACTAAGAGGTCTTAGTAGGTATATTATGATGTATGGTGGTTAGGATTTGCCCACAGCGGCGAGAAGCCTTGTAGTGTGGTATGTGACATTAGTTAGAGGTCCAATTCATGTGTGGTGAGAGGCCTTGTTGTTGTGTGAAATGCTTAGGTATAAGTGTAAAAGAGATATGATCTGTATGGTTTAAGATCTCTTCCTCGCTCCCCTTTGGGAGAGCTATATATAGAGGCATTTTAGGGCCTAGGGTTTGGGTCAAACCCTAGGGTTGGAAACCTCTCCCTCATGATCAGAAGAGATTTTTTACCACTTAATCTTTAGGAAGTAATGGTGGACTACCTCTTTTTTGACTTGCTATTTTATACACTTCATCAGTGCCATATGCGAGCCCTCTGTTCTGGCAAGGATACCGCCTAGGAGACACCACACTCGAGCTAGGGCACCCTTAATGAAGGTACTCACAAATATAACACTACATAGTCCCTCAATCACGAGGACTTTGCTTAGTGTGAAGTGTTTTCAATACCTTCATTTGAGGCGCATCTCTCACCCCTTTGTGGGTCCCCCAATTATGGTGACCATTCTTTCAAAGGATGAGTCCCTCAACTGAAGGTAACAATTTATTTAGAAGGATAATCCCTTAGATAAAGGTGAATCTCTCAGCTTAAGGAGACTATTTGCGTAAGCACTTGGGGTTTAAGTCATCTACCAATCATTCTTGATTAGCTTGAAAATATCAGCTCGAATGTCAACTAATCATTCAGTTGCTCACGCTTACCTCCATTTAATATATTTGTCTCCCAAATATGAACATAAATTTAAAAATGTTGTTACTAAAATAATGTAAAAATATTAATTAAAAAAATATAAAGGCAAAAATAAGTATCATAGTTAATATTATTTAAAAAAATAAAAAATAGAAAATAAAAAATTGGTTTTTTAAATATTTTTTGTTTTAAATATAAATAAAATTTGGTAAAAAGAAGTTTATATACTTCATTCAAAATTTTGAAACATATGCATCAATATGTTTCCATTAATTTAATTTATAATATAAGAGTAGCATTTTTTTATAAAAATAATTAACTTATTATGAAACATAATAAATAAGGAAAATATAAAAAATATAAAACTCAAACAGTTATAACATGGAGGTAAACGTGAGCAACTGAACGATTGATTGGCACTCCTAAGTGATATTTTCTAGCTAATCAAGAAACATCTAGTAGATGACTAATATCCTAAGTGCTCACGCAAGTAGTCGCCATCAACTGAGGGACTAACCTTTAGTTGAGGGATTATCCTTTTAATTAAATAGTTAACTTCAGCTGAGGGATTCGCCCTTTAAAAGAATGGTCACCGTCATTAGGGGACCCGTCGAGGGGCAAGAGATGGGTCTCAGATAAAGGTCTTGAAAACACTCCGTCCTTGGCAAAGACCTCTTACTTGAGGGACTATGTAGTGTTATATTTAGGAGTATCCTCATTAAGGGTGCTCTTGCTCGAGTGTGGTGTCTCCTAGGCGGTATCCTCAATAGAATAAAGAGATCGCCTATAGCACTGATGACGTGTGTAAAGTCGCTAGTCAAAAGAGGGGTAGTCCAACACTACTCCCTAAAGATAAAGTGGTAAACAACCTCTTGTGATCATGAGGGAGTGGTTACCGCCCCTAGGGTTATCCAAACCTTAGGCCCTAAAATGTGTCTATATATAGTTCTTCGTAAAAAGGGCAAGGGAGAGATCTCAAACCATACAGATCATACCCCTCATACGCTTATACCTAAGTACATCACACATCAACAAGGTCTCTCACCTCACGTGAACACGACCTCTAACTAATGTCACATACCACAGTACAAGGCTTCTCGCTGATGCGGGAAAGTCCTAACCAACGTACATTGTAATATACTTATTAAGGCCTCTGAGTCTCTTTGTACTTGTTGGGAGAACACACTCTTTTAGTTTTTGATATATATATATATATATATATATATATATATATATATATATATATATATATATATATATATATATATATATATATATATATATATATATATATATATATATATATATATATATATATATATATATATATAATTTCTCCTAAATATAAACATAAATTAATAAATATTGGCACTAAAATTATTTGAAATAATTAATTAAAAAATATAAATGCAAAATAATAGTCATAATTAATATTATTTCAAAAATAAAAAATAAAAAATTGGTTTTTAAAATATTTTTTATTTTAAATATAAATAAAATTTGGTAAAAAAAGGTTTATGTACTCCACCCTATGCCTAAAAATTCCTTTATATATAGCTCTCCCAAGAGGAGTGAGGGAGAGATCTTAAACTATATACTTCTCATACGATTATATTTAAGCACATTATACAACAACAAAGTTTCTCACCTCACGTGAAGAAGATATCTAACTAATATCACATACCATAGTACAAGGCTTCTCGTCACCATTGATAAATCCTAACCACCATACATCTTAATATACCTACTATGTCTATGAGCTTCTCAATCTTTTTAGAAAAACACACTTGATACTTTTTTATCAGTATTTTTGAAACGTTTATGTCCTTGATTCAAAAATTTGGAATGGACATAAATATTTTTCCAATAATTTTATTCATAATATAGGAGTTGTATTTTATTAAAAATAATTAACTTATTGTTACATAAGGGAAATATAAAAAGTACAAAACTCAAACAATTATTACATGTCAAATCATCTTTTCTTTTGGAAAGAAATTATTTCCCAATTAGTAACCATGTCGTCTTTTTCCAACTAAAAAGTTTGCGACTTGCTATTTTTTTCAACACCTTTTTCTAAAGCCAAAATATTTTCAATGATACTTTTTTGTTTCTTTGCTTTTGCCTAAGAAATTATTTGGTTTGTTTATCAAAATAAAGTTAAAGGTAAAGTCATTTAACCTTTTATTTTTTATTTATTTTATATAACCATTTTATGATTAAAATGTACCTTGTTCCTCTTACACAATATAATATAAATCAATAGCATCATATCATTACACAATTCATAGTCCAATACCTATTTTATGAGATTACATTTCATGATGACACACTACTATTTATTCATTAATCCATTCACACATAATACAAACATATATATAATTATGAATTTTACATTTTTCAAGTTTCTAGTAGAAGAGGAGTTTGGCAAGACGAACAAAGTTGAATGCAGTATAAACAAGAAAAGCAATCCCAACCAAAGTAGAACTAGCTCTCCAAGCATCTCTAAAATACACCAACCACAATGCAGCCATGGTACGGTTCCAAATATTCTGATAATGCTTATTCAGATCATTTATAATCTCATGATAACAATTCGAATTCACCACAACATGTTTACAAAGACCATTCACAAGCATAGCCACTTCCTTATCACTTCCCATTTCATGCACAATCACTTCCTTCTCAACCAAGAAATCAACATCAACTTGTGTGTGTATCAGAGAATCAACAAGTGACACATAGTTACATATATAAGGTTGTTCTTGATACTGACACTGTTCCAAAGCAATCAGATTCCTTAAAACACATTCTGTTGTATGATCAACCTTCAACTGTGGAATCCGAAGACGCGCTTTGAAATGATTCAAACATGAAAAAGAAGGTAAACAACCTAAGCAAAGAAAGTTACTCAGAAATGGTTTCTTTTCAAATGTTATGTCAAGTAATCTTCTCCTAACAACTTTCTCAAAACTCACACCAGATTCTGTCAACTTTGTGACTGTTCTTGGAAAACTATGAGAGCAACCACTTTTTCCTAAATCAGCTGGAAGGTAGAAAAACCTTATCAAATCAGTGAAATGCTTAGGTCCTTGAACCTGGAACTTTTCTTTAGGGTTATTATTTCTCAAAGATTTATCGGAATGTTTTTTCTTACCAACATCACCAAGTACACCACTTACATAAAAATATTTCTTGCTTTGATTCTTTTCCACAACAAGCTTAGTTTCAAGAGAAGATGATTTCTGAGTATCGTAGAACGCAAAGTACTCGAGTGCAAGATCAAGAAAACTATCATGTGCTTGTTTTTTACCATCTTCTGGAACAACAGTTTCATAAAGATTCATCAACACAAAGAAAGGTATTTGATTTTCCAACAAAATCAAGTCCCTTGTAATTGTTTTACTTAACCAAGCCTGTGTTAGAATATAATCATCACTGTGTTTCCATCTAAATGACTTGGATTGCACGTAATCGTGTTCGTGTTTTGATGTATCTGATTTCCATGAACTGTTTCTTAACAAAAGTTCCATGATGAACACTGCATCCAGCAAAATAGTTTCCACAAACTTCTCTTTGTTGATATCAGGGAATTTCACTGCATAACACTTTCTTATTTCTTGTTCTTTGTTTTCCAGATAGAGTTTGTAGTTCTTCATGGATTCTTGATTGTTTAAAGATAAACGTTCCCAGAAGAAATGGAAGTATCTTTTTTTGTGTTGTTGCATTGGTTTAAGTTCTTCTTTTTCAAGGTGAATGGGACCAATTGAGATTAGTTGAGGAGTGTAAGCTTCTTCTTTAACTTTTCTAAGATTGTGAGGAACATTGTAGATGCTACACTCAGCTAAACTTAACTCTTCAAGGTCTTTAATGTCGATGATGTTTTTCACCATCTCATATTCAGCTTCTGATAAAGCAGCAGAACCAGAAACATATGCCATGTTGTTTTACCCTGTCAATTGTGAATGGTATTTTGAGCAAATACTTTAATTTCATAAAATATTCTACTCAATATTTGGAGTTTTATTGTTAATTTTATTTTATAAATTGATACCCTCTACGTCTACGTGTAATTATAGAGACTAATCTCTCAAACATAAGATCACAATAAATAGTAAAATTCTTCTTTAACAAATTTCTAATTAAAAAACAAGAGTTCCATCTCATCTATGCGGTATTAGGTTGGATTTTTTATTTTTAAAATAAATGCAAAAATCTGCTCTCTGAAAAATTTCTTTATGAGAAAAAAAAATTACATATAAAAGTGCAAAATCTGCAGATAAAATTGTAGATAAAATCAACATATGTAAAGGCTTTTGGATAGCTTTCTTTTAGAGCAAAAGAAATTGCATATAAAATATAAAACATGTAGTTAAAATAGTAAATAAAATCACAATATGCGTCCCAAAGCTATCTTTTAATAATGAGCACAAATATATTTTTATACTGAGGATCTTAAACAATGATGAGTTTCCCAAATGAACTAAAACTAGTTATATCACTTGCTTTTCTAGAACTTATTACTAAGCAAGAATATTAAAAAAAAAAAAACAGTGTTTTAAACGTAAGAAATTAGTATAGACTATAATTAAAAATCAAAATAAATAAGAATTGAAAAACAAGATATAAGAAGGAACAAAAGTTCTGAACCTGTTGAATGGTAGAATAGAAATGAGAGAGATGAGAGCAAGCTTCTCTTGAAAAATAGTTGTCACCAGCAGCAGAAGGTGTATATGTTTACTATGATTGCTTTTGTGTGTGCATTACATGTGTGTATGCAATGTGATTTTATATTTGCTAAAAGACTCGATGAATGTTCATTGATGTGAAATCTTCATGCCACTGCCCCTTTAATCATTAAGTGCTGCTTTTTAAACCAAATATACTTTAATTTGAACATTATTAAGCTACCATTTATTTATTTTATTTTTTTTAAGTTTCATTTAGATTTAATTTGATTTTCATTTAGTTATTCTCGTGATATAAATACTGAATTATTGATCCTTTGTATGCTTCAGCCAATTTATGTAATTATGTTGTATAATTTAGTTAGAGCATCTCTAGTGGAAGTATCCTAAGTGGGTAAATTAAGATATTTTTTGTGGGCGCAAAGTGATTTGTAGAATTAAAAAAATTTATAGTTGATTTGAGTTGTTTTTACTTTAATGATAGTTGCTTATAAAAAACTAAAACTTAACTCTATATTTTATATTTTTTAATTGTATGACCATTGTTTTTAAAAAATTATTAGACTTTAATAATATAAATAATAATATTATATGTTTCAAAATAAATAGCATACTTAACTATATAATTGTCGGAAACTAAAAGTTAGTGAATTAAATGTCATGTCATAGCAATTTCAATGAAAATTTTTTATAGTCATCGTTAATTATAAAAAATTTAACTATTAAAAACCTGCATTAGAGCATCTTTAGTGAGAGTATCTTAAGTGGGTAAACTAAGATATTTTTTGTGGGCCCAAAGTGATTTGTAGGATTTAAAAAATTTATATTTGATTTGAGTTGTTTTTACTTTAATGATAGTTGCTTATGAAAAAACTAAAACTTGATCCTATATTTTATATTTTTTAATTATATAAATAATAATATTATATGTTTCAAAATAAATAGCATACGTTAGCTATATAATTGCTGGAAACTAAAAGTTAGTGAATTAAATGTCATATTATAGTCATTTCAATGCAAATTCTTTATAATCATCGTTAACTGTAAAAAATTTAATTATTAAAAACCTGCATTAAAGATGCTCTAAGATGATTCAATTTGATGGATTCCACACTAATAAATTTATATGTATTAATTCTTTTTTCAATTGATCTAATGAACATTTTTAATACACAACTTATTAGTTATTAATGTTTTTTCTTTTATGTCTTTTTTATTAATTATTTTTTATAATATTTTTAATTTACATGATTATATAATTAAGGGTGTAGGCTACTTCAACTGCTGTGTCAAGGATCATCTTTGTAGAGTAAATGGAATCATTAAAACGTATGGATTATAAGTCATTTTTCAAGTCCATAAAAAGAAAATAATTTTAACAGGTCTTTGTGTACTCCTGTCTTCAAATAGAAACTCATCATCTTCTTGCCTATGGTTTAAAATTCGACTCCTAATTTATGTTGTTTTGTTCAACGAAAAATAACGCTCAAGGAACACATTTTAAAGCTTGGCTAATGTCGTAATAGAATTTGTCAGTAATAGAATTTGTCAGGAGAAACTGTAGTCACGCTCCGACTCTATCTCAGAAAGAAAAAGAAAACAATCTTAATCAAATAACAACAGGAAGACTTAATTTCCAAAATTATTAGGCCCTATCAATGAATTATGTTTCCATGTTGTTCCTCATCTTCCATAGCTTGTTGTTGTCTTAATAATCAACCTCTCTCGTTAAGAAACACTCAATTTTATTTATCAATTCCATAGATTTTGTGCACTACGGGACCTTTGTATATAATGGAATCGAAAAAAATAACAGTATAATTTTAAAAAAAAATAGAAAATACATTAGTCTACGAAATAGAATAACAATAATAGAAAATATATAATCCTCGACAACAGCGTTAAAAATCTGATACGTCGTAAGTATATGACAATACTAAAGTAATATAAAAGGTTTTATCAATTTTTTGGAGATTAAATTTTGTAAGTATTAAACTCTATTTTTTAAGAAAAAAAAGTGATCATTTTTTAAATTTTAGTGTGTGTTAGAGCGCGCGTGCGCTTCAATTAAATAAAACATTTGTAAATCTATTTCGGTGACTTGCATTAAAAGTATTTAAATATTAATCAACTAAAATAAGTTCTACAAAATTAACTTGCAACATAAAACCAAGACTCAGCAACCATATTTCAAATTAATTTTAACCGTCACATAACCAAGACTGATCAACCATATTTCATGTTTAATGACTAGAAGTTAACACATCAAAAGAAAAGGTTCAGATGAGTAATAATTAATTTTAATGTCAATTTAGATTAAGTTTTGTTTGGGAATTTGGAGGGTTTTAAAAAGACAAATTTTAAAAATTATTGAATTTTTTTTTTGAAAAGAATATTAAAATAGTATTTATTCGTTAAATTATTTTAACTTTTGATATATTACGAGAATACAAAATATAGAGTTAAATATATGGTAATATAGGTGAGTTTCCCTTTATCTCCTATAATTTTTTTTATTCCCCTTGTAATATATATATATATATATATATATATATATATATATATATATATATATATATATATATATATATATATATATATATATATATATATATATATATATATATATATATATATATATATATATATATATATATATATATATATATATATATATTATCTTCTAAACATGCAATTTAAATATTAAATTTAGAGATAAACAAAAAAAATTCTGAAATAACTTTGACGTTTAGGAGGTAAAAGACGTAAAATTTTAATATGTCAATGAAAGACTCAAAATTTTTTATTCGAATAAACCAAAATTCATCTATGTTATAAAGAGTGTTGAATATTTTATCTAAAAATATATTTGAGTAATTTATCAAAGTCTTTCAAAACCATCTCCTAATATAATTGTCCAGCTCTTCAAATTACAAGGTTTTAAATTTTTTAATAGAAATAAATTCTTAAAAATTTTTTTACCTAAATCTTTCGATTCTCTTTATTGATTTTTTTTTTTAAAACTCTTTCTTTTTTCCTCTTCAAACTCCCAAATAAAACATAAGAGTTTTGTGAGAAAAAAATTGTAGTTGTCATAAAGATGAAAATAATATGCACTACTAAATGATATCTATCACCCATCCACACCACTGTCATAGCATTTAATTTTTTTAGTTACATATTCAATGCATTTCTGTGTGATATAGTACTATTATTATTTTTTGTTGTTAGTATGCTACACGATATAAACATGTAAATTGATTGGGGTAGAATGGTTGGTATAAACATTCAAAATTAATTCCTTTAAGCCAACTAACTAAAGAGCAGGGCCACACGAAAAAACTACACTTGAAAATTATCAAATGAGTAGCGTGAATTAAAACATTTTTCTAAAGGAATGTCAGGGTAGAGATGATTTGCGTGCTTAATATATACTAGACGTATTATGTAAAGAAGATTAGATTCTGATGTGTCAAGAAATCTTTTATATACAATTATTTTAGTTATTAACTTATGAATATGAGGAAGATGTCTTACGAGTTTGTTGTCTCTGCACCCTTGACAATATTATAAAAGTTTGATGGTGGGATGCGATCAATTGTTATGCGTTCTATTTGATGGCCGTTGCTATTTAAGGTTGTTGTGAAATGAGTCAGTAAAGATGTGACACGTTATCTTAATGATTTTCAACTTGGGGTTAGCGTATCAAGTGGTGCTAAGATCATTTTGCACAGTGTCAACAGGGTGTTAAGTAAGAGACATAAAGATGATTTGTTGGCTATGCTCACCGTAGATTTCTAAAATGCTTTCAACATGGTAGATCGATCAGCCTATTGCATGAGGTAAGGGTGAGATGTCCATCTATTTCTTTATGGATTGAATTTCTTTATGGCCAAGTAGTGAGGTTGTACCTTGGGGATAGACATTATGTCAGTCACTAGAGTACAACAAGGTGACCTGTTAGGATTGCTCCTTTTTACCTTAATAGTTTTACTAGCAAGGACATCGCCGCTCCTAAAACACTATATTTTGGTGAGTGCATTATTTAGTAAAACTGTTAAGGATATGAATGTAAGGTTTGACATGACCAAGAGACAAAAAGAATTTTTTGGTTGTTTGCAAGTTACACATGCTCGGGACTTTCTCATTTTTATTCCTATTAACGGGTTAGGCTAACATGCATCACCGATGGAGTACTGTACTATTCTAAGATACCACCTTTTTGATTTCTTTATTTCATAGTGATGAGATTT